TATATATATATATATATATATATATATATATATATATCTAATTATCTAACAATATTTGTATAATTATATATATCTAACAATATTTATATAATTTTAAAACTGACTCGAAGACCGAACTGATCAAGGGTTCAGTTATCGGGTCGAATGGTCCAATTATTCGAACCAAACGATCAGCCCGTTCTGACAAAAAATAAAAAACTGTTAAAGCCATTCAAACAGTTCGATATCTAGTTATTAACAATATTTATAATAACTTTATATATTTATATAATTACATAATTATATATCTAATTATCTTATATATATTTATTAATAGGAAATTGGTTGCTCTCACGTGGGAATCTACTCGTACGAGTAGATTTCATTTACCTTTTTGATGAATTTGCAAATGAAACATAGTTGATGCCTAGAATTTGAGCTCAAATCTGCTGCTAACATGATAACACAAATTTTCACTATCATCCAATGAAACATGGATATGTGCTCCCTTTGTTTCAAAATTAAAACATGGGTGACCTACCTTTTCATTGAATTGTTAGGGCCTATTCGTTTCCAATGAGGCCTAACATCTCAAAGTACTGTAATAATTGGTTTAAGAGGGCGTATTGAAGTTGGAGAACATTTCTTAGTTCTAATATCTGAATGTAAACGATATTATTCTGAAACCTAAATGCTGACTTTTTGGAATAGCAATTGACTGTTTTAACCCTGGATATGAGAAAGATTCTTTAATTATTTAATAAAATAATTAAAAATGAATTAATGAATATAAAATGATCAAAAAATAAATAAATTGATAAAACTTATAAATAATTAAATAATGTTTTTAATAAATATATAACTGGAAGTTATTAAAAAATAATAGTTAAAATGATCAACTATTGAATAATGAATATTAATTATTAAAAATTATTTAATAATTATTTAATTATACTACATTATTTATAATAAAAATTATTAATATTTATTAAATTTAAATAATTCATTTTAAATAATAATAAATTTTCTAATTACTTAATTTCAATAAAATTATTTTATTTTATATTTTATGTTTAATAAAATAATAAAATTAATTATTAAAATTAAATAATCAATAATATAATAATTAAGGTTTTTTATAGATTCCTCAACTTCATAAATTTTATATCTTTGTATAGTTAGGACAAGGGGGGGAATCTATCACAAAATAATGGGGTACTGTGGGGTTGGGACAATACATTAAGGAAACCAATAAAAATTTGTAAGGAAGAGGAAACCATAAATTTTTCTAATAATTATTAACAATCAATTATTAAAAATTATAGCATTAAATAACTAATTTAAATATTAATTAAATATTGTTCTATTAATTTATTAAATATTAATTTAAAACCAACCCAAAGGTTGAACTATTTTTGCCTTCAAGTTGTAGGTCAATGGTTCAAATGTTTGGATTGAATGGGTTAATAGATTTTATGATATCATCCAATACATTAAGGCTGAATAAAAAGTCGCGACCACCACTCCCCCCCCTCTCTCTCTCTCTCTCTCTTTCAAAGTGGTACAATGCCACTTTAGAGTTATGAGTTAAGAGGAAACGAACATGCCCGTTAATATGTTTGGCTCAGTTTGAAAGGAGTACAAATACAAATACGTTCAGTATAAATATATACAAAATAATATAAAATATAAAGTTTTTTTTAGTAATAACAAAATATAAAATTTTGCACTCTACATATTTGTATTTGTACTCTTTCCAAACTTAGCTTCTGTGTTTTATTGGGCAATGACAAGAAGTTTGTACAATGATTATCACAAAATATGAAATTTGGATGGATTCCCCACAGAACGCATCCCACACACGTCCCACATGCACATCTTAGCGTGCATTGGGAACATGATATTACATGTTCAGGCCCAGTCCTGCGCCAGACATCTGGGCTGGCCGTATCCCGTATGAATTAAAACTAAAATTTTAATATAGCTTTATATTCATGGGTATAGAAAAACATATTTAAAATGTCATGTATAGATTAAGATATAATACCATATATATATGCCATATATATTTAGTAAAATATCATAAATACCATATATGCATGTATACATGCCACTATAACATATACACATGCATACCTTATATACATATGTGCTGTATATATACATGCAATACATACTATATTTATATTTAATAAAATATTATACCATGTATACTATATTATTACCAAAAAAATGGAAAATACTATGCATATATAAAAGATACAATACTATTATATATACAGTAATTTACAAACCGGGTCAAGTCTGACTCACATTATGTGCAAGCTTGATGTGGGTCCGAGCCAGGCCAGGCTTGATAGAAATACAGTTGTCTAATAGGAATGGAAATGGGGCAGGGCAGGATCGGGTTTTGAACTCAAATACCCTGTCCATCCCCACCCCGAACCCCAATGGAGCTAGAAATCCCAACCCCGTTCTCGGAGAATAGAGATCCCCAAAACCTGCCTCAACCGGAGCAGAGAGGGGCAGAACCCCACGAGGACATATCCAATTGCCATCTCTATTGGCCAATCCCGAAATTTTACAGGCCAAAGAAGGTGAGCCAGGCCAGCCGGATCATAAATGATCATCCCTACCCTTGGTTCCCAGCCAGCTTTCACAATTCGACCGCATGGTCCAATATGAATCTTATCGTAGGACACTGGCTCCTACCACTTTCTAACAAGGGAGACATGGTAAACCCACTTGAGGTTATTCTATTAAGCAGATTAACCGCGGAAGGCTTCACCCTTTTATGTGCTTTTTCAGTTCAACCTCAATATGGACCCTATGACTTGTTCACTAATGTATTTGGCATACCGATCAATGTGCTTTTTGGTTGAAATTTTTACTTGAATTTTGGTCATTTATTTTGATTGGAAACTGAAATATAAATATATTACAAAATTAAAATTTATCAAACAAAAATAAAAAGTTTACAATAAGGGAATAATTTCAGGAAAAAATCTAATTGATATATATTTTTGTGTTTTCTAAAATAAAAACAACCGATTCATTAGCAAAAGTATACTGTTTTTGTTGATGTGACAGTTATTTTTGTTCGTAAAACAGACCATACATGTGGATGAACACCTCTTGAAACATGTTATTGAATTATGTTTTTGTTTTGAGAAGTAAAAACAAATCAGGTTTGTTCTCAAAATCAATCAATATTTTTAAAACCATCAAAATAATAGTTTTACCCAAACATCAATGCATCAGTACTGGTTTTTGCTATTCTGAACCAATTAAGACGTAAACTGATTATATAGAGCCTGTTTGGGAGAGTTTTAAGTTTTTATTGAATTGCATAGATTGATTCATATTAAAAAAAAAAAAAGCTAATTAACTAGTTTCATTGGAAAGTTGATTTTATAACTCATCTAATTTTAATTTCAACTTTTGTTATATTTTGGGCCCATTTTTTTTTCTGAGAGTAGGAAAGTTGGTCAATGGAATTTTGATTCCTATTGACTAAAATACTCGTGTTATTTTTTTAGATTTATATGGGGCTCATGAAAATTTTATTTTTCTTAGGAATAAGTGATACCCCTATCACAGGTGGGTAAACAATTAACTTTCCCACCTAGGGGAAAGTTGCAAACATTTGGGAATTACTACAATTAACTTGGCAGAAGCCTAGACTGCTTGAGAGGCCCACAATTTGGCCTTAAGGATGCGTTTGGAATCAGTGTAAAACCTCATCGGTGTAGCGATGATGTTTTACACTAAAGTGAAAGTGACATTGATTATCAATGTAATATCGATTATCCATGTAAATATTACATCGATAATCGATATAAAACCTTACGTTTGATAGGTTTTACATCTACATCAATTATCGACCTAAAACTCCACTCCATCCAAATGTATGTAAAACTGAACTAAAATAAAGTTTTACGTCAATCATATGATTACACTCTATTTGCAAAACAAAATCAAACTGGTGTAAACTTTTACACCCTTCTTAATTTACACTGACTCAAACACAACCTAAATTTTGGTTGTTGCTCATCAGCGACTGTCTGTTTGTAGAGGTTGTGTGAGGAAGAAGTCTGATGTGCAAAAGTTCGGGGATATTCTTCCTACCTTCAACCCTAGAGCTTATGATGTTGGTTTTTCTTTTTTTTTTTTTTTTACTATTTTTTGGATGTATTATCCTCCGTCTTGTATAGTTGTGTTATATGAAAAGAGTTTTGAACAATCATCCATGAATTTTGATAAATTACGGCTATAACATTTATGATTCCAGTTGACTAGCCATAAAATTTTCAATATCATATCTTTTCCATATCATATCATAGTTGAACCCGTGCTTAGCCCCTTTTGGTTGGAAAAAAAAATCCGATGGCGACGGGCATCTCATAATCGTAGGCCCACCAAATGGCCCAAGCCCAGCTTTCGGCCCATACGGCCATACTCCTACTCTTCGGTCTTAATAAGTCATAACCACTACCTCTCTCTCTCTTACTCACAGTCACATTTCTTCTCTCTCAGACTCTCTCGGAATCGGAGATGTCTGAAGCTTCCTCACATCCAGAGGGTCCGACCCCTACCAATCAAACCTTGCAGCCATGGCTGGACGACCTCGCCGACGATCTGCAAAGCATGAGCTTCAACTCCACCACTACTGCGACAGACATCAGGCGCAGCACCAGCTCCGGCTCCGAGACTACCTGGACCGCGTCTAGCTTTGGCTCCATCTCCACCAAACCCCACGCCTCCTCCGGCGACCCCTGCTGGGACGGGATTCGGCGCGTCAGATCGGAATCGCCTAATGGCGGACTCGGACTTTGCGACTTGAGATTCGTCCAGAAACTCGGCAGCGGCGATATCGGCAGCGTCTACCTCGCAGAGCTAAAAGGCGCTCCGGTGTGCACGTTTGCTGCCAAGGTGATGGATAAGAAGGAACTCTCGAGTCGGAACAAAGAAGGGAGGGCGAGGACCGAGAAGGAAATATTGGAAATGCTGGATCATCCCTTCCTCCCCACGCTGTACGCGAGCCTGGACTCTGCTAGGTGGTCCTGTCTGCTGACTGAGTTCTGTCCCGGCGGTGACCTCCACGTGCTCCGGCAACGCCAGCAGGGGAAACGATTCGACGAGCCAGCCGTCAGGTGCGTACGTTAGCAAACAATTTTCCTGCCAGTTTTGTTTGCATAGTTCTCGCTGTGGGTGTCATCATGCACACCGTCTTTTCACCTTGCGATGCGATGGTGGACGGAGTGTGGGGTCCACTACCTGGCCTCATGCATGGTCATGTCGGTGGTGGGCCAGTGTCCGGTCACTCTCCTGCCGGTCGTTGAATTTATGCATACAAAATTTTGGCTGCGTCCAGATTACACCGGATCATTTTCATTTGGTTTTCTGGACACCTGGGAGAATTTGAACTTCTAAAGAATTAGGACGTTCCATTCGACGACAATCTGTCACTACTACACCTCTCTTTGGTAACTCTAGAACCTCCTTTCTAGAAAATATTACTGTTATGCCACCTCCATTATTACCTTATACAAACGATTCCGACGACGGGACTACTCCAGGAATCATCATGATCTCTACGGTTTGGATTATTCAGATCGTCCCTTCTGACTTTGGATCTTCTTGAATCCTCTGACACGAATCCGACGGTCAGAAAAGGCATAGCCCCACGTGCGTTAGCTCCCAACCAATGATGATAGAGATTTTGGTTAGTATCGTCCAAATGCTTCTGGGTCCCCGGGATCTATGGTGTCATTTGGGCGGAGTTACTATATTGGGAGGGGTCAATTCCCTTGTACCACTAGCAGGGACATTTTAGTACTTTCATTTGTGGTATCGTTACCTTCGTAGAAATTTCTATTCCATCGAAATCCGGGAAGACTCCTTGTTCCGGTTTTCCGTTTATATTGGCGGGATTCTGGGGATTTTTAATTCATTCCATTTCCCTTTTGCTCTTTTCTCGTTTTCTTTTGTCTTTTCAAGAGTACTTACGTATCGGAATTCGGAATTCGCAATTATTTCCCCCTTAGTGGCATTTCCGCAATTGTTTAGAAAACAAGGCCCTGACTTGTCCCTGCAACCGAAGAGGCTATTCAAATCCTCTCGGACGTCGGGCTGTAAGTGCGCATTACCTGATCAAATGGACCCCACGAAATAAGTTTGCAGTTCAGATGCTGGGATCGTATTTCCATCATCATGAGGCCTCCCGCTTCGCTGGCCATCCGATCGGAACCCATACGGGGCCCACATATGTTCCCATTCAATTATTTTCACTGCTGCGTTCTATAATTAAATGCTTGAATTATTGATCTGGAATCCTTTGTCCACGTTGTTTCCAGGTTCTACGCATCCGAGGTGGTAGCTGCTCTGGAGTACGTTCACATGATGGGCATCGTCTACAGGGATTTAAAACCCGAGAATGTTCTCGTGAGATCTGACGGTCATATCATGCTAACGGATTTTGACCTCTCATTGAAATGCGATAGTTCGACACCAACGGCTCAAATCATCTCCGACAAGAATCCACCGGTCCCGACCATGTCCAGTGACTACCCGGTTGACCCACATCCATTCGCCGCTGCCTCATGCATCCTGCCTAGCTGCATCGTCCCGGCAGTCTCATGCTTCCACCCGAAACGCAAGCGCAAGAAGAAACCCAGCCGGCGGCGCGGTCCGGAAGTAGTGGCCGAACCGGTCGACGTGAGATCGATGTCATTTGTCGGCACCCATGAGTACTTGGCACCCGAGATCGTATCGGGCGAAGGCCATGGAAGTGCGGTGGATTGGTGGACGTTGGGTATATTCATATTCGAATTGCTATACGGGGTGACCCCCTTCAAAGGCATGGACAATGAGCTGACCCTGGCCAACATCGTAGCTCGGGCCCTGGAATTCCCCAAAGAACCAGCGATTCCGGCACCGGCGAAGGACTTGATCACACAACTGTTGGTCAAGGATCCGGCCCGGCGATTGGGGTCGACGATGGGCGCCACGGCGATCAAGCGCCACCAATTCTTCCAAGGTGTGAATTGGGCACTGTTGAGGTGCACCCCACCTCCCCACATTCCGCCTCCGTTTACCAGCCGGGATGTGTCGGACGATAGCTGCCCCGAGACCCCGGTCGAGTACTACTAACGAGAAAGAGGAGGAGCTGAACCGGAATATTTTGCAAGCCCTTGTGGATTGGAGACACTTGAATTATCGTGGACACCGCATCGAGTGAAGTGGGCCCCGGCACGCTTTGGGCTATATGCGCATAGTGAAGTGGGCCCCGGCACGCTTTGGGCTAGATGGACTTTTGAGCTCAGTGGGTTCTTGTTGACATTTTACGATTTTGTAAGGTGAGCCGGTTCCGGCTGCCGGGGACAGGGCGGAAGATGTTGACCAATCCTGAAGCAAGGAGGAGCAAAGAAACATGGGTTGAAGGACATACAATTTTTGTGTTCATTTGTCAGAGAGCGTGCCCCACCCACGTGTGATGTCAAGTGTGTGAGTAAGGGTTAATGTGGGGAGGTGTCATTAGAAGTAATCTTAATACTTTGTATTCTTTATTTACATATATAAATATATATAGTCACATGGAGGCTCCAATTCTTGGATTTTTGGATCCATGGATACAAATATTTGGTAAATTGGTAGAGAGTACTGACCACTGACCACTGATCACTGATGCTACCATTATTGTTTTTTTTTTTTGGTGTTTTTTTTAATAATACAGAACATGTGGTGGAGTTGGGTTAGTTTGTCAGTGATGGATTATCAACTATTTAATTTAATAACTATGTCATCTGTCTTTGAGATCCTCCATATTATTGGTCGGTACCAAGTCATCGCTTTCACTCAGTGAATAGATCCATGAAATATAGAGTTTTTACTTTTTAACTGTTTAAGAACTTGACCTCAACCCCTACATGTTAAATCTACATCCATCTATCGAATGCTAATTACTAATATCTTGATGATTTAAATTGAGAGAAGGGGAGAAATAGAAGCTGTAGATAGAACATATTCAACAGATATGGAGAACCCTAATAATGAAATTAGGGATGCAATTTAACCGAGCTGATATAATTTCGGCCTGTTTTGGTTTGGTTTGGTTTGATTTGATTAAAATATTATTATATTTGAGTCCGAGTTCAATTCATGTTTCGCTTGAGTTTGTGAGTTTTCAAGTCAAATTTTTTATTAGTCAAACTTAAATTTAAATAACTAATCAAGCTTACTTTGAGATTGGAACTCGAACAAAATTAAACTTGAATCAAGCCTGAACTGTTTGATTAAAAATCAATTCGATTGCACCCCTAGATGAAAGTGTGAAACTACTTCAACAGGATGGAATAACATAGCAAGATACTTGGTCGCAGTTGAGATGGTGAGTCAACGTGGTTCCCATCTTTGGAGTTTGGACCCCTTTTCTGCTTCCAAATTTCGGCCAAATTGCGAAATTCATCACCACTTCAGAGCCACAAGACAGCTCTTTAGTCTTCACAGTCCCATTTTCACATGGAAAGTGTCCAAATATGGTTGGGCATTCAATTGAATATGAGGCAGCTGTCCCATGAAAAATTCGAAATGTCCCTAATCAAATGGTGTTTTTGGTAAGCCAGCTAAGAGAGAGAGAGAGAGAGATTAGGGGTGGGGGGCTGGTATCTTCTAGGAATGGATCAAGGCATTCACCTTGCCTTAAGTCAAACTCGACATCTGCTGCATTGGGAGTAAATGTCTCAAGTCTCAACTACATCCAAGGAGGGTCTCTCTCAGTGAACAGTGACTTGTTCTCAGGCCAAGGCCTAGTCCAGTTGGTACAACTGGGTTTGGGTCTAACTTATATGGCATGATTCAGCTCATTTGATCTGGTCTAATATATAATATCTTGCATTGAGGTCGTAGAGATAATTACCACTAATTAATATGACTTCAGCCTACTTAAACAAAGTTAGTCGGCAACTTTCACCTTCATTTAAAACATAATCAAATCGTCAGTCTTCCTTGTTACTTTTTAAGCCCCAAGTCAGAATTCATTAAATAAATGCTCAGATTACATCCCATAACAAGAAAAAATGAAAAAAAAAAAGATATAAAATTATAAATCACACTAATCTTGCATAAAAGAAGAAAGTAACAATGAGCACCGGGAGAAAATAGCTCGAGCAATTTCTGCAAATGGCACAAAAGTCATAAGAATGCCAGGATAGGGGATCATCTACCTCCAACAAAGATACCAATCGAGAGGTGTCTCATTGGTATGTTAGTTGGTTCATTCCAGTATTGATGCAGAATCAATTCCCATAACTATCAATTTAGGAAAAATAAGGGATTATTTGGGATGGGTGGCATCAAATACCAAAAAAAACAGAGACATCAAAAAGCGATTTTGAAGAATAGCACAAATTGCAATAGCAAACCCCAAATTATGGCAGAACCATGCATAGTTTCAGAGCTTATGTGGCTTCAAGTGAGGCCCAAACCCCTACCTACTAACCTCCTATATCGTTGTAATCTAATTAAAACTATAAAAGGAAGAAGTTTTCAAGTCTAATCACATGGAACATAATAATTTTATAGAAATGAATTAGAAGTTGGTTGAGAGTTGAGAGAAAAGGACAAGTGAAATGATTCATTTGTATTGAATTGGAGATTTTTGAAGAGTTGGTAAGATGTGATTCGAAAATAATACCATCAACCATTTGATTACTTAAATGGTTATTTTAAGTACTTCATATAATAAGAACTCATGAATTTCTTATATCCATCTGCTCTTCATCAGCTTTTCTATTATGCAAACATAATTTTGCTTTTGAGTTTATCATGGGTCCCAAGGGTGAAGGATCAACAGTACTAGGCCTGTGACTCGCTTTATATGCATCATGCTTACAAGTTTGGGACCCACTATCACTAATTGGTCCCACCTAAGAGATTAAGCAGGTCTAAGGGAGATGAATTAATGATCAATATTATGTATACTTTGTTGTTTTCATTTGGACAGAGAGAGTGTCATTCTAGAATAAAGTCGCCCTCATAATTGCAAAGAGGTCCCCTCTCTTCGTTATCCAACTGTTCATCTCACTATCAAATAGGTTTTACCTAAAAGGTTGCCTATCTGAAAATGAAAAACCTAGAAAAATCAGAACTTATGGCCATTTGATTCATGAACACTGGCACTGAATGAAGCCTAACTTCTATATAAAACTAGAATTATTTGATTGTGCCGATACTGTTTTGATGCCAGACCTACATAAGGGTAGGTCCCGGTGCAATAAAAGAGGGGGCAATAAACAAATAATGCTCAATTTGTTTATAGTGTAAATTTCATTTGAATCGGTGTAAATGCATAAGAGTGCAAATAGGCTAAGTGTAAATTTCATTGAGGTTAGGGATGCAATTCGGACTAATTGGGCCAGGTTTTAGCTCAATCCAGGCCTAACCCTAAAATTTGGGCCTATAGCCTGAACCTAGCCCCAGCCCAAGGTCAAGTCTGAACTATTCAACTTGAGTCCAGCCTCACTAAAATTTCATGCACTTGAGTTCGGCCCGGGCCCAGGCTCTGATTAGTCTATCAGCCCATATGAAAATTTGATATAAACTTATATGTATATGCATGCATTTATGCATATCTGTATGCTTTATTAAAAAAGTTATGAATATATAAATATGTATATATGTATGTATGGCTCAGTTTTGAAGCAATATAAATATAAATATATAGAATGCAATTGGGCTGGGTTTGGGTTACCTAAAGAATAGGCTCAGAACCATCCTGAAAATTTAAAAAAGCCCTAGATTTTGGTCTCAGGCCCTAGGTAAAACTGTGAGCTGGATCAGTTTGACAGCCCAAATTGCACTCTTATAATTGAGGTTGGAGGAAAGTGGTGCAATTTTACACTGCCAGTCAGTGCAAATAAAACAAAAATACAAATTTTATATGGGGTAAAATACAAAAGCCTCCCCTGAGTTTTCTAGCAATCATAAAAACCTCCCTTATGTTTATACTTTAGCAAAAACCTCTCCTTTACTTTTTAGAAAATATGCAACTTCCTCCCTTCCTAGACAGAAAAGCCAACCTAATGCATTTATTTTTTTAAATACCTATTTTGCCCTCTCTCCAAAACACTATTCATTTTCTTCCTAAGAAGTAAGAACTAGAGGCTATCGGCCTTCCATCGCATACCCATGGCCATGGCTTCTCCTAAACAGAATCAATTCCCAAGAGCTTGAGACAAGGTCTATCAATCTATCGCCCCCATTCCCTCTCTCCCTCTCCAAACATAGTCTACAGGAAAAACAAAAGTTTGCAAGCTGGGGTTGCTTTATAGGAAAAACGAAAGGTTGCAATTGGGCTGCAACTCGTTACAGTATTCAAATGGCCAAATGGGTACTCAAGCCTAAAATAGCTAATAGTTTTGCTATATTTTTCAAGGGTCAATGATGAATACCTTCTAAGTGTAATTTCTAATCGCTTCATGATTTAGTAAACGGCATGAAGCTTAATTTGACTAATGAGTTTACTTTGAATAATTCAGTTTTAAGAAGAAAGAAAATAGAAATTTCCAATAAAAAGTTGAAAGGGGATTCATCTCATAGAATTAAACAAAATCGATGGATGTCACAAGTGCTATTAGGACTCGATTAGACATCTCTCATCACTACTCCAGCTTACATAAGGTGTGCCATCATCTTCCACCAATTCATGTTTTGTCTCCGAAATCACCCCTTTTCATGGACATTCAACTTTTACATGCTTGACAGGTATAAGCTAAATACCTTGAGACACACTCAAGACAAACTTGTTAGCTATCGTAGTAGTCTTCCACCAATTATTCGTTCTGCAAGTCTAATCTTATTCGATACTCAACGTTGGAATTATTGGCGCAAGACAAAGAGGTCGAAATGCAAGCTGTGTTAGTTAAACACCTCGAAACACACTCAAGCTGGCCTCATTGTAGCGATTGGTGAGGCCGAGATACCATCATGTTTCTCATTTTCCTTGTGTGATGGTGGGTGTTTGTGAAATTGCAGGTGAAGAAAGAACTGACAAAGAATCAATCGAGTGGAGATGGTGCACGAGATTAGGAAGGCAAAAGAGGCAAAAGCCGAGATGTAGCCAAGGCCAGATAGAAGGCCGAGGCGGAGAGAGAGAGAGATGACGACTCTGGTTTTCCATTATGGAGAAGAAATGAATAGTGTTTTGGAGGAAAGTTTAATAAATCTACATCTAAATAGATATTCATAAGGGCGAAATAGGCATTTTAAAAAATCAAACACATTATTTCGGCTTTTTTTGTCTAGAAAGGGAGGTAGTTGCATATTTTCTTAAAAGTACAGAGAAGGTTTTTGCTAAAGTATAAACATAGAGGAGGATTTTATGATTATCAGAAAACTTAGGGGAGGTTTTTGTATTTTTGTTTACACTCTTACCTCATATTATTTGGCGAGTAGGTTTCGACTCTTACCTCATATACTCATATACACCCAAACCAATAGTATGCACAGGGTCAGTGGAAACCTGTGCATATTATTGTCACAAACAAACATATGCAAAGCTAAACCAAGCCCAAAATTTGTATTCTGGCTCAGATTTGTATCGGAAATTTTAAAATAATCTCTTCAGTCGAACCATGTGGAACCAAAGCGTACCATGCTTATTGAAGCCTAAATCATAGCTAGTTGCTTTCATAATCTATGTTCTTAGAAA